TGTTACGTTTACTGGAATCGTTTATGGAATCAGCTCCACAATTAGTTCTACAGTTGTACATCATGGTGAAAATAGAAGATATTTACTGGTTAACAGGTAATTATACTTGTGTATGGTTTAAAAAATCAGTTTTAAATTCTCTAGTTACTTAGTTACTGAGCAAACCTCAATATTGCTGTTTTGACAGAAAATTGAGTGATGAGTCACAATCATAGTCGAAAGATGAACATGGCTAATAAATGATAAAATTGCTGGAAATTAAAAAGTGCAATAAATTGTCAATATTTACCAGTACTCAAATATGTTTCTTGACTTGCGGATTTTGCAATATTCTATTACATGTTTATTTTGCCACATTCTATTATATTTGCCATATTCTAATATATTTTGCCACATTCTATTATATTTGCCATATTCTATTATATTTTGCCACATTCTATTATATTTTGCCAGATTATAATATATTTTGCCATATTCTATTATATTTTGCCACATTCTATTATATTTTTTCCATATTCTATTATATTTTTTCCATATTCTATTATATTTTGTCACATTCTATTATATTTTGCCACATTCTATTATATTTTGCCACATTCTATTATATTTGCCATATTCTATTATATTTTGCCACATTCTATTATATTTTGCCACATTCTATTATATTTTGCCACATTCTATTATATTTGCCATATTCTATTATATTTTGCCACATTCTATTATATTTTGCCAGATTATAATATATTTTGCCATATTCTATTATATTTTCTCACATTCTATTATATTTTTTCCATATTCTAGTATGTTTTGCCACATTCTATTATATTTGCCACATTCTATTATATTTTGCCATATTCTATTATATTTTGCCACATTCTATTATATTTTGCCACATTCTAGTATATTTTGCCACATTCTATTATATTTGCCATATTCTATTATATTTTTCCATATTCTATTATATTTTGCCACATTTTATTATACTTTCCATATTCTATTATATTTTTTCCATATTCTATTATATTTTGTCACATTCTATTATATTTTGCCACATTCTATTTTATTTTGCCATATTCTATTATATTTTCTCGCATTCTATTATATTTTGTCACATTCTATTATATTTTTTTCCATATTCTAGTATATTTTGCCACATTCTATT